CTTGGTAAAATATATAAAGAGAACAGGAATTTTTTTCAAATTATTTTATATTCTTTCAAAAACCTAAGTTTTAGGAGTTGATAAAGAATGTAAAGATATTTATATTTCTTCAAAATTTACATTCTAGATTATATAATATCCTAATTCAACTTAGAAAGTGGATTTAAAACTGACTTTTGAATTAAAATGTATGCAAGATAAAACGTAATTTTAAGTTGAGCTGGCCTCTATATTAAATGTGAAACTTTCAATTGAATACACTCAATCATAATAAGAATTTAACTTCTTAATTCACTTATATTAATAAAATTGTTCAAACTACCATCTCACAGCTAATACTTTAATAAAAAACCAAAAATCTCCGATTCAAAAATAAAAGTTCTTACATAAGATGGCTGATTTTGTATTTTAAATTACTGAATCAGAGTGCCCTCTATTGGAAGAAAAAAGGCAATAGAAGCTACACTGAACTGAGAATAGATAAAAGAGCCTAAAACTCAAGACACATCATTAGTATGTAAAAACATGTAATAATATGAATGCTACAAAATATACTTCCATTTTTATTTCTCCTAAGTTGCTTTTATACTTCAATATTACTTGTCATATTACAATGAACAAGTTGGATGTTTTATATCCAAAATTAAATTTTAACTGAACCCAAATGCTCATCATTTAAGCCAGTAATATGAATAACAGATTTTTTCCCACATTTAACATCCCAATATAATATAGAAATATTTCTAATTTAGGACTGTTGTTCAACTACAGTTTAGATTTTTCCTGATGATAACTTCCCTGCTATGAACTGAAAACTTCCCTGCTATGAACTAGATGTTTGTGTCTCTCTGCCCCCCAAATTCATATGTTGAAATCCTAACCTCCAGTGTGATGGTATTGGGGAGGGGGAGCCTTTGGAACATGAATTAGGTCATAAGAGTAGAGCCCTCATGAATGGGATTAGTGCTTGAAAAAAAAAAAAAAAGACACAAGAAAGCTTGCTTTTTCCTTCTCTGTCCTTTGCCATGTGAGGACACAAGAAGACAACAGCCATCTGCAAAACAGAAAGCAGACCCTTAGCAGACACCATCTCTGACAGCACCTTGATCTTGGGCTTCCCAGAGGCCAGATCTGTGAGAAATAAACATTTGCCTTTTAAACCACCCAATCTATGGTAACTTTTTAGCAGTCCAAACTAAGACACTCCCTAATTCAAGAAACTGCTAGAAGCTCTTACTCTGGGGAATTGGAGAAATTGGTTGGACACTAAGATCTACGAGATTTACTAGAGCTCAAAAAATTCCATAATTGTGTGGTGTTATCAAAACTTTGGCTTCCACACATTATCTCAGACCTGAATTACCTTAGTAAAGTCCTGGCAGATTTCTGGTTCCCTAAATCAAACGTGTGCATGTGAGAATAACTTGGGGAGCTTTTTAAATGAACAATGCTCAGACCTATCCAAAATGATTTTGATTTAATCGGTCTGGAGTGGTACCTGAGGGTATCAGTATTTATTGTTTAGAGTCTCTCCAAGTAAGGCTAATGCACAACCCATTGCTGAGAATCATTGCTCCAGTCTCTCCCCAGACCATCTGACATATAACTATGACTTTTATCTTCCAAAAATGTCACCTGCATGAGGACTCCCCTACTCAAGAGCTTTTTCTCCTTAGCAGCAATTTTAAACTTCTGACTAGCTTCCCAATCTACTAATTTGCCTTTGTTCTCTGATGATTTAGTTCAGTGGTGAGGGGGACAGCTCCAGTCCCAGACTGCCTCCATTCAGATCCTGGCTCTGTAATTACTAAGTGAATTCACTTCCACACAAGCGTGAACTTGTGAGAATCATAAAAGCTTTCCATGCTTCCCTTTTCTCATCCGTAAAACAGGAGAAATACCACCACCTACCTCAGCATTATTGTGAGGATTAAATCAGTTAATATAAGGAAAGTGCTCCGTAAGTTTAGGTATTATCATTACTTATGCAACTGTATTCCCCACCACTCTCCAAAACCAACTCTCATGGTAAACCGTTCTCCTCAAATTATATAGTCATTTTCACCTCTGCAGTTTTGCACACATTACTTCAGGCAGGAATCTTTTCTCATTCATTCATTCGACACAAGTGCAAGGCACATCTCCCCTCCCTGCAGAACCCAGCTTAGTCTCTTCCTACCTCCGTGAAGCCTCCAATGCACACCTATAAATCTTCACCAATCGCTCCCTTTTAAAAATGTTCTTTGGCCACAGGGTAACTTACTATGAGAAATGTAGCTGGAAATCAAATGCACTGGCTCTGAATTTGAATCTTAGCTCTGCCACTAGCCAGCTGGGACATGTTCTAAATCTATAATTCCATAGTTAGGATTATTTAATGTTGCCTTAAGTCATATAAATCATTAGAATAGCAAATAGCAAGCAACTAATAAATGTCAACTCCTATAATATAGATTTGTTGTTTTATATGTTAGTCTTGTCTACACACTGTGATTGAAAGCTCCTTGCAACAGATGCTTTGAACTCCTTGAAGTCAAGAACCAGGTCTCATATTACTATTATAAATCCTATAACTCAAAACATGAGAATGGCCATCTACACTGGGTGACCTATAAGTACTTAAATTTTTTGCATATTTTGAGAGTATAATTCATAACAATACTCTGGAAAAACATTTTTGGTGAATGGAAACAAATATTTAACAGAACAAGGAATGAACATAAATAAAACACAGACTACAGAGAATGGTTAAAAAAAAATTAGATTACTTTTTAAACATTCAATAATATGTTTCTATCAGATTCATCATCTGAAAGGCCAGTTCCAATGATGTGTTTTATCTGGATAATCCTTTATCTCCCAAATCCTTTATATTTTTCTCATTTCCTAAAAAAATAAATACTAAAATTCTTAGCCTGACATTCAAAATCATCTATGGCCTGACCTCAACCTAGCCTTCTAATCTTATCTTCCATCTTCCCCCTTTGTAAACTCTGTTATTCCAAATAAATAGAACTATTTTCTCTTACTCTGATATTTCATCTGCTTTTCTGCTTCATAACAACCTTCAATATTTTATATGACAGTAGTTTCAAAGAATACTTTTTTAAAGGTTTGTCACAGGAACAAACAGTGGTGTAGGAAAGTGTGAGCTCAAATTTCGAGAATTTAAGTTCTATTCGGGAGCATTAATCTCTCTCTCGCCACCATCATAATACAGTCTTTGGCTTACAAAAAATTCTATCTTTTTCCCAAACGATGTCATCCTCTGGACACCAAAAGTCCTTGTCATCACTTCCTGAAAAATATAAACTTGAACCTTGGTCTCCAAGCAGCATGTGCAGACCCCAGGGCATACAAGGTACTCACTGAGTAAAAGAAAAAAACTAGACCTTCTATTTTATATTTGTTCTTTTCCTTTTTCATGCTGAATTTCTTCTGTAGTATATGTCTCATAACTTACATCAAGTATTATTAGAATAGTAGCAGGCATATATAATTTATAAATAGAGATGTTTGCCCAAAATCTGTTTACTAATGGTACACATAACAAGAAAAGTTTAGAAACTACTGGTCTTGAAAATTAGGATTTTCCAAAGATCTGTGGTTTGAGAAGTAGAGGAACAAAAGTTGCCAGTTTGGAAAAATTTTTACGGATGGATCTAAAAACCTAAATACCATGTACTGTTTATGTACAGCAAATATGTTTTAGGTTCTAACTTTGAAGGAAATGTTAAAAGTAACTGATTTGTAAATTAGAGATAGCATACACTTGTTTTAGAGTTTTAAACAGAGAATTTTGTCTTAACATTAAAGTTACTGCTATAAATATTTCATTAGCATAAAAATTTCATTTTGTAAAACCTACACGTAGGTTTTTTTTTGAGGTAAATATGTATTTACTTCAATACATATATAATTATTCATAAAAAATTTAGGGGGGCTAATAAAGTGATTTTTTTATTAAATGCAAAAGATGGTAGAGCAAAAAAACAAAATGAATCAAAAAAGCAGTCCTAGGAGGTAAGACTAGCCATGGAACTAGATTAGCAAGTGCTATCATGGGAAACAGTTATCATAGCTCACTTTAAGTAACTAAATTAAGTAAATGTTCCCATAATGAACAGTCACTATATTAGTAATTTTTTTAGTTTTCATAAATCCTTATAATTATATAAATATATAAATTATATAAATTCATTATATCCTTAAGACATTTCACTCTATTATTGGCTTTTGAATAAAGCATAATAGTTCTGTAACAAATTAAGTTCTAAAGTGAGTAAAGGTTTCATATCATAACAATGTAATTTCCTTTAATATCAGTACATACTATAAATCCTTCCTCAGTAGGACAGAAAGTAGATGTACAAATCTTAATTTTAATCTGATTGATTCTCTATAGCTCTTCTTGCTATTGTGTTAATGTAAAAATCCAAATGGGGAAGAATCTCTAATTCATGCTTTAGATTCTAAGCTTATAGAAGAGAATGCTCTAGAAACTTGCATTATATTATAAAACTCCACAGGATGAGCAGTCCACAACATCTCTCCTGCTCTGACTTAAAAAGTGACTGAGGAACTATACACATGGCTCAGCTCTTTCGTCTTAAAGATGGGGTTAGACCAAGTTCATAGAGAAAATGGAAAAGACAGGTAAAAGGAAAGTTTTCTTCTTTCTTTGGAAACCAATATCATTATGGCGAGTAAAACAAAAAGAACACAACCAAGAAAACTGAATCCATGTGTTAGGAGAGTGTCTAATAGTAGAGAGACCATCACGAACTATTAATATAAGTGATTTGTCAAAGCATTCCTTCCCCTGCACATGCAGTGAGAATAAAACCCCAATGAACACCGGGGAAAGAGCAATAAGGAGACTGAAATCTGACAACAGCAGAATCTGACAGCCTGATAATGCACAACATCCCATGCCTCTTAAGTGTCCATACTGAACTGGCAAAGACAGACGCGTTGTCTTCATTTCCCCCCTTACTTACTACACTCTGGCTTCCATTTTTGCCAAGCTCTTCCTCTGAAATCTTGCTCAAATTATCTAAGTAGTGGTCTGATATCGTGTGGCACAAATCTTCAAATGAATAATCCTTTTCTTGGCAGAGTTTTATTTCATCCAAGAGTTTTGATAGTTCTCCAGTCACAGTTTCACCTAGAAGATGAGAATAATTTTTTCAGAAGTTTCAAGAAAGGCTATTGCTAAAATTTAATGTTAAGTAATAAAAATACAATGGCTATGGGGATAGAACTCAAAATATTACAAACAATATTAAGTAGTCAGAAATTATTTTGCTGAAAACAAGGTACTATAGTTAGTATGATATTAACAGACAATAGACAATATAATTTCTCCTATTTTTATTCTTTTTCAAAATAAAAATTAGCATTGAAAGTTTACATACATGTAGTACATAAAATCATCTGGAATTACATTTCCTAAAGCTCCACTGATTTAGGATTTAATTGTCAATAATCTTGTATTGGCATTTTATTTCACTGACAAAATTCATTCAATAATTCATGAACAAATTTAAAATGGTGCTGAGACCCTACTTCCTAGATTCTATAAACAGAAATAGAACTATTTAAACAAATAAGTAAATAGTTAATAAATTAGAATTATGACATATGATATAAAGGGAAAACACAGAAGAAACAGATACATGATATGTATCACCTACCGAACATGAGTATTTTACAGGCTACATGCAAACATGCATGTTTATAAACAGTCTCAGAAAGGTACTTTTAAACCTATAATTTATTCTGAACAAAATTTTCCAGCAGTTACAATCCAGATCTTAATATTTTTATTCTAAATTTAAAACATTTAAAATCAGTTTACTATAGATGCATGGATTTATTTCTGGAATCTCTATTCTGTTTTATTGGTCTTTATGTCGGTTTTTATGCCAATACAATACTGCTTTGATACTGTAGATCTTCAACAAGAGTGCCAATGCACAATGTAGAAATGATAGTCTCTTCAATAAATGATGTTGGGAAAACTGGATATCACATGAAAAAGAATGAAATATGACCCTTATCTCACACCATGCATAAAAATCAACCCAAAATAGATTAAAGATTTAAACATTAGACATGAAATGCGAGAACTCCTAGAAGAAAATATAAGGAAAAAAACTTCTTGACAATGGTCAGGACAATGATTTTTTGGGTATAAAACCAAAAGCACAGGACATAAAAGCAAAAATGAACAAGTGGGATTACATCAAACCAAAAAGCTTTTGCACAGAAAAGGAAACAATCAACGGAGTGAAAGGCAACTTACGGAATGGAAGGAAATATTTGTAAACCATAGATCTGATATAAGGGGTTAATAACCAAAATATACAAGAAACTCCCACAACTCAACAACAAAAAAGCAAATAATCCAATTTAAAAATGAGCTAAGGGCCTGAATAAACATTTCCCCATAAAAATGGCCAAGGGTATATAAAAAGGTACTCAACATAACTAATCATCAAGGAAATGTAAATCAAAACCACAGTGAGATACTACCTCACACCTATTAGAATGGCTATGATCAAAAAAACAAAAGATACCAAGTGTTGGTGAGGATGTGGAAAAACAAGACCCCTGTACACTATTGGTGAGAATGTAAAATGGCATAGCTAATATAGAAAACAGTATGGAGGGTCCCCCTAAAATTAAAAATAGAACTACCATATGATCCAGCAATCCCACTTCTGGGTCTTTATTCAAAGGAAATAAAATTGGTACCTTGAAGATATATCTGCACTCTCATGTTCACTGTAGCATTATTCAGAATAGCCATTAGAATATTATTCAACCTTATATAAAGAAGAATATCCTGCCATTTGCAACAACATGGATGAACCTGAAGGACATTATGCTGAATGAAATAAGCCAGACACAGAAAGACATATACTCCATGATCTCACTTATATATGAATCTAAAAAAAATCAAACTCATGAAAACAGAGAGTACAATGGTGGTTGCCAAGGGCTGGGGTGAAGGAAATGGGCAGACATTAATCAAAGGTTGCAAAGGTTCAGTTATGGTGGGTGAAGAAACTCTGGATATCTAATGGACAGCATGGTAACTGCAGTTAACAACATTGTATGGTACACTTGAAATTTGCTAAAAGAGTTTAAGTGTTCTCACCAAAAAAAATTAAAACTATATCAGGTGATGAATATTTTAATTAGCTGGATTGTGGCCATCATTTCACAATATACACAAATATCAAAATATCATGTTGTATGCTGTAAATATATACAATTTTTGTCACATATACCTCAATAAAGCTGGGTAAAAAAACACATTTAAGAAAAAAATATATGAAATATATGCTCTATGTAAACTTCATTACAGCAAGGATTATTATCTGCTTTGCTCACTACTGTATCTCAAGGCCAAGAACAGTGCCTAACAAATAATAGTTTCTACATATGCTGATTAAATAAATGGATAAAATATAGAATATATAACTTATTAGACTTGAAATTTCCACAACTGTTATCTTTTTTATACATACAGGACACATTTTTACATAAAGTCTAGCATGATTTCAATGGCTTTACATTTAGATACTCACTTTTGGTCTTTTGGGAAGGAGACTCAGCTGAAGATGAAACCTGTGTTTCTTGTGTTGTATCTTCCGGAACATTCTCTTCAAGCACTGTTGGTCTTCCCATGCCTTCTAAATATTCTGTGTGTATATACATTTTTTGAGATTATATAGCTGAATTCATTTATTTTAAAACCAATAACTAAACTTTATGCTTCACTTCTGTTGCTCTGTTTTTCATTTATTTTTCTCATATCCTAAATATATCCTAAGTTTTTAAAAGAACTTCATGATGACCTATTTAAGCTTTTTAGTTTAAAAAAACACAAATTACAAAAACAACAACAGAGCCAGGCAGAGTGGGTCACACTTGTAATCCTAACATTCTGGGAGGCCGAGGCAAGAAGATAGCTTGAACTCAGGGAGATTCTGTCTACTAAAAACAGAAAAATTAGCTGGGTGCAGTACACGTGCCTGTGGTCCCAGCTACTTGGAGGTTGAAGCAGGAGGACTGCTTGAACCCAGGAGTTTGAGGTTGCAGTGAGCTATCATGATGCTGCTGCACTCTAACCTCTAGCTGGGATGACAGAATGAGACTATTTCCAAAAAGAAATGAAAAAACAACAAAAAAATACTTTGGGATAAACTCATGAAATCCTTTCTTCTGAAAACTAAACTTATCACATTCTTTCCTTAAAACTAAATTCACCTGTTGAAGATACTATAACCTCCTTGGTATCCTTAAATATTTTCTATCTGAAGATTTAAAACTCTCAAAGATGCTTTGAGTAGACTTGATCCCCCTAAAACAGGAATGTCAAATTCAGATAGATACAACAAACAGTCAGGTAACATAAATGAATGAAATTGGGTAAGTTTAATTTTATAATGGTGTTGTAATCTTGCAAGATAAACATAATTTGTATACTAAACTTTATTTCTATAAATAAATAACATTAATTCCCATTATTCTTGAAGTAATATTCTATACTCAGCCTACATTTCATTTTTCCAATTTTGATAAAGACATAATACTAACAGCTAAAACTTAAATATTGCTTACTTTGAGTCCAGCATTGTTCTAAGTATTTGATATAAATTATTTCATCTAATCCTTACAAGATTATGGCACACACACTCTTACTACCTCAGTTTTAACCACTTCGGTATGAGCATCGACTATAGTCGATAGCCACAGATGAACGCGCACAGCGACTTTAGCTGACAGCCGTGATATGACTTTTCTAATTTTTCATTTATCAAAATAAATGAAATTAGATTGTGAACATTTAAAAATAACATAACGAAAACATATGTATATGTTACCTATTCTGATTTACATTACAAGTAAAGCTGCCTGTAAAGTAAAACAAGCTTTCAGTGCTTAAAAGCTTTCCTCATCACACGAGAGCAAAACGGACTCATCGTCAATGCACAGCACAAACTATCGTGTGCCCTTTAAAGTGGTTTAAAGATGAAAACTAAAGGAGGAGTATATTAACTTGTCCACATTCATACAGCTAATAAGTGGCAAAGCCAGATAGACATGGAACAAGGAAACAAACAGCATCCGAATGCAGGGATCAACGTCAACCAACACTCAGCCTGGAAGAGCATGTTTAATCAGAGAGGCAATGACTTGTCTAAAGTACATCAATGAAACAAAATTAAAGCCTGTATTTTTTGAGAAGCCAAAACTCCAGAGTTTACTCCAGAGTTTTAGCTGAAATCCTAGATTTTTAAATGTTGATGGCTAATTCAATTTTTATGGAAACACAGTGTGGGCCAAAAAATATGTGATATAAACAAAACATATCTGTTGCCTGCCAAAAGCATCCAGCCCAAAAGTGGCTAGCTTGTATCCTCCACATAAAAGATTAAATCAACAAATGCCTTTTCATGGGGATCTTTTGCTTGTACTTCTTTATTAAGAAGGAATCTTTCTCTTAAAATCCAGTTAAGAAAGTTTTTACTCTCATGCCAATCAATTGTGTCCTTTTGCCATTCAAATAGTTTCTACCAAAGGGCAATGGCAATGCTACTAGGCAAATTTGACTAGGAAAAGAAAAAATCCTATGGGATTCTAGCCTCAAAATTTTTGAACCAGGTAATAATTATGTAAATTGAATAGTAATTTTATAAAATAGTAATTTTATCTACTATAAATCAACTTTATTTCCATAACAATCTTTTTCACTAGATTTAAAATGTACTGGTGACTTGAAAACCAGGAATGCAAAGAATACAGGTAATGTGTTCACATTCTGAAATTTGTCAATTAGAAAAATCCAAAGATGTCCCATATGCAAATTGACATGCCTAACGAAGCTTTTAAGAGAACAAAGATAGTTACTCTTATATAACAACATTTTCATCTAAGTTGAACCAATGCAGTATGTTAAAAAAAAAAAAAAAGTCTATCATTATGTCATGCCTCTTTTTTAATGAATGACATTTATTTTGCTTCTCCCAAAAGACATATTATGTACAAGTTTCAGTTTTTGTAAAGTGCAGTTAGAGGCAAAAGTCCATTATGAAATACAAAATGCCTAGAGCGGGAAGGCATAAAAATTGGCATGTGCCACTATTATCTTTTATGCAACTTGATTTTAATTTGAATTAATATAAATAGCCATGCTTGGATTCGTCTCTCTATGCATTTGACTTGCAATTAATTTCTTTATTGACAAGAAAATTGTAGGGGCCTGGTCTTTTGGGAACTTCCCTGAAAGGTTTTGGAAATAGAGAAGAGAAAATAATGCCCTCCTGTTGTGTGTCTACCCTTTTTACCCCTCTTTGGCCTTAGTTGATTACTGTATCTGCATGTTCCCTGCTGACTTGGTTTTAATTTATTTTTCTCCCTGTAGACCAATGTTGTTCTTCAACTTCCCAACTGACACTTAATGAAATCTATCCCACCTCCCTCCTCTGTTACACCTGCAGCCAATCTGTAACAACTGTAGGAGATAATCACTGCTGAACAGTGTAGGGGCTAACTAGAAAGGACAAAAAGAACATCTGGGGTTTTAACGTAATAAGCTAAATGCAGGCCTAATCACCAAACAGAAAAAAGAAAGCATTTAAATCTAAATATTTTAGAAAAGTTGTAGATCAAATAGGAAAGCATGTAATTCTGCAAATAGAAAAGTAGTACCTAGATAGTTGTCAAACCTTCAGTAGAGCCAATATTGCCACTAACTACAAATGTACTTAAATGACCTCTATCAAAAACAAAGCCTGACAAAACTAATCTTGTACTACTGGAATGGGAAGGAAATAATCTGTACTTTTTGGGCTAAATACAATTGTTGTTATGGTTGTGAATCCAGCATTTACATATGAGCTCTGCCACTTAGAACAGGATATATGACTTCAAGCAAATCACCTAATCTCTCAAAGCTTCAGTTCCCTTATATGCAAAAAGGAGAATATCATCTTATTTATCTACTTCATAGTCACAGAAATTCAGACAAAATAACAGCAAATCCCTGAAAAACTCTTAAAGTAATATTCACATGTAAGCTTAATACTCAACCATCACCACTTTATAGCCTTCCTAATTTTAAGCTCATAACTACACATTTACTACATGGGTTTGAAAAAGATTTTTTTAATATCAAGTAAGAGAATAAATACTTTAACTTTTTAAAAATAGTGTATTGAATAGTTAAAAAAAGAAATAAAAAATTAAAAAGTATTCTTATTTAGTTTAAAAGTCTACCAGAAAAAAAATGAAAGTAATAAATTCATTCAAAAGTAAAGACTAACTCAAAACCCAAAAGAAAACTCTAACAGTTTTAATTTAATCTTTACTATAAGGCAATTTCATCCATCATTCAATACTATTTACCTTGTAAGAGTGTTGCAATCTGGAGAGATTTCTGAGATGGATGTTCTTTCAAAATGTCTAAAACAGTTCTACCTAAGCTATCCTTTATGTTGGCATCAATTCCTAAAAGAAAAAGACAAACTATATTATTGATTTAGAATGTGAATTCCTAAACTATAATCATCATGTGATTTGTATATTCTGTATAGTATGGTAAAAATACTTAATTATAAGCACATACCATGTGAGTAATATAAGAACAGTCTTAGAACACTTAAGTATTCACAAAAGTTGAAAAAGCCTGATATTTTTGAACTTTTGTCCAAATACAAAGTCACAATATTTATTTATGCAAGGTTATATTCAATGTCAGTCACATTCATTATCTTCCTGGTGAACAAATTTATTGATGGGTGTATATGAAACATCCTTGTTATTACATTAGTTCTGAAAATGTTTACTGTACTAAAGAACTTATTTTAATGTAGCAAATAGATTTTCGCTGCCTTAAAATTGTTGATGAACTTTCCAAATGCCTAACTGCAAACAAAGCCACTTTACAGGTTCTGGCCCCAAATATCAGTCCATCATAAGATTATTAAATGTATACCTGAATTTGTGTAGGGACATCTGATTAGCACATATTTAATTGGTTGCCTCAAATCATTTATTATATCATGGCATTGCATGTCAAAGGTACATGTGCATGAAATCTTAACATTGTATAAGCATAATCACAATAGTTTGCCAGTGTTTTTCATTTTATTTTTTACAGAGGAAAATAAACACACTATAGTCCATAACATGAAAGACTCACATCAATTGTTTACAAGTATGAATTTGTACCCACGCCTTTTGATGTTAAAAAGGATCTGACTCAGCTCCCATTTTACTTCATTTCAATCAGAATATACATATGAAGATAAATAAACTTAATTTATTGTTCCTTCAAAGCATTCCCTTTAAAAGATTCCCTTTAAAATAAGTCACTGTAGACTATAAACAATAGCTACTCAATTAATGAAGTAACTATTAATAGAAGAATTTACCTTAAGGACAGGGAACTCAAATCTCTATTTGCCATAGTTCACAATATAAAAATCTGCAGAAAATATGTTCTTTAATAAACCAAGCAATTATCATAACTTCTCAGGGATCAATTCCCCCTCTTCTAAAAGGCAGAGATCTCCTTTTCGTTTTGATAGTTTCTATAGTGCAGGCGTCCCCAAACTATGGCCCGTGGGCCACATGTGGCTGTTTTTGCCCGTTTGTTTTTTTACTTCAAAATAAGATATGTGCCGTGTGCATAGGAATTTGTTCATAGTTTTTTTTAAACTATAGTCTGGCCCGCCAACGGTCTGAGGGACAGTGAACTGGCCCCCTGTTTAAAAAGTTTGAGGCCCCCTGCTCTAGTGTATTTAAATGTGATTTAAAGGTAGAAAACTGTAATTTCCAAGAGCTTTTTACTAAAACATCTATTGAGTAAAGGAAGGGTGCACATTTATATCAATTTTATCTAAACATGGAAGCTCAATTCTACATAATATGAATACATATTTGCAACTTGGAATGAAGGCAAGAAGGGTGATTTGTGAAGAGAACTGTGTCATTTTCCTTTGTCTACTCCTGAAACAGAAATGTTATTTGGCCAAATAAGCTCCATGGAGACTCATGATAGTTACCTGTTTCTAACAGAACCCGTACAACATCCACCTTTCCAAACAAAGCTGCTTCATGAAGTGCACTCCCCTTTTCTGTCTGGAAGAAAAAAGAAAAGAAAAGAAAAGAAAAAAGGAAAAATAAAACATAGTTGCATTTAGAATACTTACAAGTTAAAAAATTCTGTTATCTTATGTATTCATGTCTTTTCTGTAATCTCAGCATTCCCCAACAGAAAGGTAGGACAGAATAAAGAAGAGATTCTAAAACCAAAATCCAAAGGCTTGGTTGGGTTTGTAAAACACCTGTTTCTGAATAGCCATTTGACCTTGTAATGTTAATAAGCTGCTCTCCTTCTCTTAGCCTTGACTGTCCTTAAGAATAAAGTAAGAGTTGTAATGCCTACCTCACAAGGCCTTTGTGATTATCCAACAAGTTTAATCAGCATGCATTTATTAAACACCAAGTATATGCCAAGAATAGTCGAAGGATGTTCTGAAGTAGGCAAATATCATCCTGGCTCTCATATATTCACATTCTATTAGCATAAATAGATATATTAAATACAGATGCTCCTTGACTTACAGTGGAGTTACATCCTGATTGTACCCATTGTAAGTTGACAATGCATTTAATACACCTAACCTACTGAGTATCACGAGTTTGCATCGCCTACTTTAAACATTCTCAGAACACTTACCTTTGCCTATGGTGGAGCAAAATCATCTAACACAAGGCCTATTTTACAATAAAGTATTGAATATCTCATGTACCATACATCGCTAGCCTGGGAAAAGATGGAAATTTAAAATTCAGAGTACATCAAAATGGCGACACTTTCACGTTGTAAAGTCAAAACGCTGTTAAGTGAAATCATTGTAAGTTGGGGACTGTCTGTAAATATTCATGATAAATGAAATCTAAACCATTTAATGTAGCCATTAAAAAGAATGAAATCCCATCATTCACGGCTGGATGAGCCTGGAGGATATTATGCTAAGTGAAACAAGCCAGGCACAGAAGAAAGATAAATACATGTGCTCACTCATATCTGGGAGCTAAAACACGTGGCAGCCCTAGAAGGAGAGAGTACAATTATGGTTATTAGAAGCTGGAGAGGGGGGAGGAGGATGGGAGAGGTTGGTTAATGGAAACAAAATTACAGCCAGATAGGAGGAATAAGTTCTAGTGTACTATAGCCCAGTAGGGAGACTACAGCCAACAATAATTTATTATATATTTTCAAATAGCCAGAAGAGAGGATTCTAAACGTTCCCAACACCAAGAAATGATCAATGTTTGAAGTGATATGATAATGACCCTGATATGATCATCATATATTATATATATTGAAATATCACTCTGTGCCCCTAAATATATACAATTATTATGTGTCAATTAAAATAAAAATAAATTTAAAAAAAAATTAACGTGTCTTACAAAACTTGGATGACCTTCTCTCTGCTTTTCTCTTCTCTCCATTAGTCCTGTCCCCCACAACCCTCTCCCAGCCCACATGCCCTGCGCTCCGGGCGTGCTGAGCTCTTTCACATTAGTGTCATTCTCTGTTTTCTTCCCCAGGGGTCTCAAAGACTGGTCCTTCCGTCTGGCTGAATCTAACTCCACGCCCTCTCTGTCTGGCCATCACCTGCACCACTAGTTAATCTGCAGTGTGAATCTGGATCACCTGGAGAGCTTGTTAAAACACAGACTTCTGGGCCTCATCCTAGAGTTTCTGAGATTCAGCCTGAAAATTTCCATTACAAGCAAGTTCCCATGTAATATTGAAGGTCTAAAAAGTATACTTAGAGAACAACTGACTTACTGAATCTTAACTTAATATAATTTCACTAAGGAAGGCACCCCTGGCCCCTGAGGTTTAGTGCTTTTCCTGTGTGTTCCACACCAATGCATATTTTCCTTATCACAGCACTCATACCACAATAAACTTCATGTCATTGTCCATTCCCCATAATAAACTGTAAGTGCAGTGGAAATGTAGGCCACATCTATTTTTTTCGCCATTGTATCCCCAATGCCTAGCAAAGTACTTTAAAATGTGGATGTACAGGAATTCTTTTGATGGCAAAAGCTGGAGGGAGGGAGGAACATAGGATGGAAAAGGAGGAGCATTTGTGAGTAGTACAGGATGAGATTGAAATCTTCCTTGAAGGCAGAATCAAAGAGGACACTTTTTGAGCTATACATATGTTAGGGTTTGTTTTAAAGTTCTTTTTTTCTTTTTTTTTTTCCTTCTCTCAAGAATCTAATAAATGTCAGCAGGTTCTCAATAGGTGTACATATGTTTTTTTTTAAATTAAATAGTGTCAATATGGCAATTCTGTCCCCTTATACTAAAAGTGATCTCTAATGTGGGATTCTAATCTCAAACTATAATAGAAGTATCACCATAAAATAATATACAATGTAAAAACTTCTTTAATTACTAACAGTATATTGTATAATTAACCCAACCTAAAACAGTTTCTAAGTGCATTGTTAAGGAGTCTTGAGGAATACCAAGTATCTATTGATGTGATCTGAATGTATCCTCAGGAAGGCATGAGTGAAATGCACTTGAATTATAATGTGACTGGCATGATATGTATAGATAGTAATAAAAATGGAAATAAAAATTATTTCATAAATATACAGCATCATGCTGAAGGAAAAAAACTGGAAACTTATGCAGTTTTTAAAAAAACACTTCAATGTGGGGATGAACATTTTCTTTTTTCCATTCTTTGAGAAATTTCCCTTTTAATAATCTAATTCTGCTCACTTTCATTCTGTGTTTTTCAACCAACTTTCTGATTGTGAATTGGATATCTTTCCACTTTTCACAAAATTTTGGACTTGATGTTGAAAAAACCCTTCCCGTATAGCATACTTTATTCTAAAAATAAGCTAAATAATACCTTTAATACAGGACTGAAGGGGAAATGAAATGGAATTCCTCAGAGCCTGGTGGGGAAAGAAAGTATAAATCCAGGGGGTTAGCAATGGAACAGGTATTTGTTCTAGGGAATCTGCCATGGTAGACTAGTGTCCCCATGGGCTTTAACCAAGCACTCAAGGGGGGAGTGGGAGGGACAGGAGGCTAGATCAGGGACCTCTGCACAATCCTAAAACCTCCAAAGAACAACACCCTCAGTGAAAATTGAAAATTAAAAAAAAAAAAAAAACCATGTTGCACAGAGGAAGAAATAATGTCTGTCTAGGACTTAGCTCTAAGTGGAGTAGAATAAAAGAAATGAATCACCCTAAGAAATCCTAACCACAATTCTACACTCATATGGTGAGTATGAGGCAAATAAATACACTCTCTATGAAGCCCAGATCCTGAGCCAAATGTAGAATAAAGTGGCCCTGGGTTTGTATTAATAGTACTACAGGTAGATGTAAATGCTTAGCAGAAGCAGATATAAGTCCTAGCTGGAAAAAAATACAATTGGCTTGTAAGAATTCCAACAGATAAAGCTCTAAAAAATACTAATTAAAAATTAGAAATCATTGAACATGAAAGGAAACAAGCCACCATGAGCAAGGATTAGTAGAAATAAAAAAACAAAAGAATAAAACCCACAAAACTTCACATATTGGGATGGTCAGCTACAGAATTTAAAATATATGTGATTAATAAAATGAAAGAACTAGAAGATACCCAATATGACTAAACAACAAGAGGATTATCAAAATTGACACAATGTAAAAATGAACCAAATAACACTTCTAGAAATGGAAAATATAATATTTAAAATGAATTGGTTTAATAATACATAAGATACAGTTAAAGAAAAGGGTATGAACCTGGATGATATATTTTTAAAGTTTATAATGCAATAAAAAGAAGTGAGAGATGGAAAATGTAAAAGACAGGATAGAATAGATTCAACATATGTCTAAACAGAGTTCCAGAAAGAAATGATAGAGGTAATAGTCAATGGCTAAGAACTTTTCCAGAATTGATATCAATAATAAGTTCCAGAACCACCAAGTAAGATAAATGAATATATACTGGACATATCACCATGAAACTACAAAGCACCTAAGATAAAAATACTTAAAAATATGCCCAGAGAAAAAAATAATTGTCTTAAAAGAAATAATATCAACAGCTGACTTCTCAACTAAAATAATAAAGCCAGAAGAAAGTATAATATCTTTGTGAGTCAACAGGAAATTACTTTTGACCTAGCATTCTATATCCAGGCAAACTATCTTCTAAGAATGAGGGCAGGCCGGGCGCTGTGGCTCACGCCTGTAATCCTAGCTCTTGGGAGGCCGAGGCGGGCGGATTGCTCAAGGTCAGGAGTTCAATACCAGCCTGAGCAAGAGCGAGACCCCGTCTCTACTATAAATAGAAAGAAATTAATTGGCCAACTGATATATATATAAAAAAATTAGCCGGGCATGGTGGTGCATGCCTGTAGTCCCAGCTACTCGGGAGGCTGAGGCAGGAGGATCGCTTGAGCCCAGGAGTTTGAGGTTGCTGTGAGCTAGGCTGACGCCACGGCACTCACTCTAGCCTGGACAACAAAGTGAGACTCTGTCTCAAAAAAAAAAAAAAAAAAATTAAAAAAAAAAAAAAAAAAAAAAGAATGAGGGCAAAATAAAAAAATTTTCAGATTAAAAATGAGGGGTTACCAAAGACCCTTACTGAAAGAACTTCTATAAGATATAATTCAAAAAAGGATCTGAGATGCAAGAAGTATGGAGTGCAAGAAGTGAGTAAAGAGAATGGTTAACATGAAGCTAAGTCTAAACAAACTATTTAAAAATCTAACAATAATGTCTATATTTGCACCGATTTGGTTTCCCAGATATTTTGATAAAGGATAATGGGCACTGTAGACACCAAAAAAGGCTATAGTAGTCCCCCGTTAGCTCCAGAGGATATGTTCCAAGACCCCAGTAGATGTCTGAAATCGAAGATAGTACTGAACCTGATTGCCACCAATCAGAACATGTTTCTATTCGTGTCTTCCATTCACAAATGTAGGGCCTTTTCCATTTTAATGAAGCAGTCATCACACATTGTGGCCTAACTTTTGCAGTTTAAGGTGCCATAGCAAAACCAGTATAAATTTCTTTGTCAT